ACTCTTTTTTTTTTTTTTTTTTTTTCTTTAAAATAATATTTTTTAATGTTTTCTGCTTTTTTTTTTTTTGTGTGCTTGTGCTTGTTATTAGGGAATACTAATGGGGTTCGATAGCATCTTGATAATTGATCCACGACTGCTCGACTATGGTAGCAACACGTTTTTCATATTCTCTCTTGTTTTCCTGATACAATTGAGCGGCCAATGAATTTGCTGGAGAATTTGGATTCGGCTCATCGAGAAGAGACTGAAATAAATTATTTAAATAAATATATATATATATTATAATATATACACCCATACATCTTTTTCCCCTCTCTTTCCCCTGGAGAGAGGGAAGCAAGAAATTAAAAAAAAAATTCAAACATACACCCACCTACACTCTCCTTATTAATTAATAAATCAATAATTATTATTAGCTTTATTTATTTATTTATTTATTTATTTATTATTTTTTAATCGATTTCAAATAGTCACAAAAGTATTTATTAGCCTAATCAAAAAAAAAAAAAAAATCACAATATATATATTTATATTTTTTTTTCATTTATTTATTTATTTTTACAAATTATAAAACAGCGTGCCGTAATTTTTATTAATTTCCTTTTCTTTTTTTTTTTTTTTTTAATTAAAAATACCATAAGTAAATACATTGACGATTAATAAAAAAAAAAATAATAATAATAATAATAGTAATAAAACAAAAAAAAAAAAAAAAAAATTGACAACAATTGTTAAAAAAAAAATAATAGTTCATTAACATTAAGCATTTTTATTGAAAAAACTCTTTTTTAAAAATAATCATTATTATTATTTTAGTGTCCCGATTACAAAAAAATTATTATTATTATTATTATTTTTCCGTGATTATATATAATATATATATAATGGACGGGAAATAAATGAAAAAGAAAAAAAAAAAATTAATTGAAAAGCAAAACAAATTAAATTGTCAATTAATTAAAAAAAATAAAAGAACAAAACACAAAGTTTACACACCGATACCGCCATTAGGGGGAAGCGGGGGGGGGGGGGGGGGCAAAACAAATATTATTATTATTTATTTTTTTTTAAATAATAAAACTTATCTTACTAATCTAATAGTAATAATAATAATAATAATAATAATAATAAACTTAAATTTAACCCTGCACGAATTTTTTTTAAAAAAAAAAAAAAAAAAAAAAATGTTCCAATTTTTCTGTCATAAATTTATTTTTATTTTTAAAAGTGTCAAATTTATTAATACATCGACTGCTAAATATAAAATTTAAAAAACAAAAATTGAAAACTGAAATCATTTTTTTTAAATTTTATTTTATTATTTAAAACGACATTTTTATGTAAAACATTTTGAAAAAAAAAAAAAAAAAAAAAAACCAAAACAAAAAATTGAATTAATACGTTGAAATATATGACAATATATGATTTCAAATCGTTGAGATTCTCACAATTTTTACTACCATTTTTTTAAACGTTTTTTCCCACCCCCCCTTACCCCTTTTCCTCCCCCAACCCACCCCTTAACGATAAAAAAAAAAAAATGTTAAATTTTTTGGTGCAAGAGCGATTATCATTATTATTATTATTATTATTATTATTCTTTTTTTTCCCTTCAATTATGATTCCTGAATTACAATTGCAGCAGCTAAACCAAAAAAAAAAAAAAAAAAAAAAAACATTTTCCGGAAAAAGGAAAATTCTTTCTTCCTTTGTTAGGGTATTATAAGAAAATCATTTGATGAGACACGAATAATAATAATAATAATAATAATAATAATAATAATAATAATAATGATAATAATGAAAAAAACACGAATAAATAAATAATAGATATTCTTTTTAGACAAAGAAACAAAAAAAAAAATAGTTTCGAGTCAATTTGTTTTTTTTTTTTTTTTTTTTTAAAAAAATTTTCAATTAATAAAATTAATTAGTGCATTTAATTAATAAAATTACGTCATTTAATTTTAATTTATTATTATTATTATTATTATTATTATTATTGTAAGGTTAAAAAATAAAAAAATAAAAAAAAGAAAAAAAAGTTTACTGATTACGGTGCAAAAGGAAAACTTTTCTCTCTCTCTCTCTCTCTCTCTCTCGTTCCTTTGAAAATCTACTATCTCAATACGTTCTTAACAAATAATTAACGATGATGATGACGATGATGATAATAGTAATAGTAATAATAATAATAATAATAATTTTTCGTTTATTTTTCGCATTATATATATAACGATAGCGATCGTATTGTTAATTTTTTTTTGTTTTTTTTTTTATTACATAACTACTGCAAAGTTCAGGGATCATCATACCCTTTTTTTTTTTTTTAAAATTTAACTAACGAGAGTTATGCTAATAAGAGTAAGAGTATGTAAACTGAATATTATTATTTTTTTTTTTTTTTTCCATTTTTTTTTTTTGTTTTTTTTTTTTTTTTTTTTTTATATATAAAAATTCTGTTGCTAATCGACAAAACTTTGTTCTACGCAGGCTTTGACCCTCTTCTCGTATTCTCGCCTGTTTTCTTTGTAAAGCTGTGCTGCCATTGAATTTGCTGGGGAGTTTGGATTTGGATCACTTAAAAGTGACTGCAAAGAAAAAAAAAAAAAAAACCATTCATTATAAACCTCTCTCTTCTCTTTCTCTTTTTTTTTTTTTTTTGCATTCACTTTGTAAATCTCTTGGGAATCGAAACTCCCCAACGAAACCATACAAAATGTAGTAGCAGTAGAAAAAATTTATAATAATAATTATTTTTATTAAATTTTTTTTTTAAATTTATCAAATGATATTATTGGAAAGGTGGGGTCATGTAAAAAAATCCAAGTCTCTAATTTAGCCAGCAGCAGTTTTTTTTTTATTTTTAAAATTTTGATTTTATTATCGTAAGCATTATTATTATTATTAATTACCATCATCATCATCATCATCATCGTGATCATGTTTTCTTTCCTTGAAATAAAAATTCTATTAATTATATTGTTAGTTATTAATTATTATTTAAAATTAAAAAACCCCCAGGAAAAACTTTTTTTTTTTTAACATTGACAACAACATGATTCATAGAGGCACATCAAGGCTATAATTTATTAATTTGTTACTATTTAAATTTTAACTTTTATACAATTGAAATAAAAATCATACTTCCTGTAAAATTAATAATAATAACAACAAGAAAATAATAATAATAATAACGAGAGAGAGAGAGAACAAAAAAAAAAAAAAAAAAGTTTTCCATTTTAATTAAATTTCGAATTGATAAAAAATAACGAGCACATACTTTTCGTTAAACGTTAAATTCAAAAAATGAAAAAATTAAAGCTTATGAATGATATGATTAAAAATGTGAGTCGAAAGAACGAAAATGTGGAATGATAAAAAAATTAATTTTAATTAACGTTGTAAATTTGCTAATATTTTTTTTATTAATAAAAATGTTTTACTTACTTGAATGGAAGTTAAAATAGCAGAGACATCATAAGTTGGACTCCATCTATTTTGAAGAATATCTAAACATATTCCACCATCGGCATATACATTTGGATGAAACATTTTTGAAACAAATCGAACTGTTGGTGGTTTGTTAGGATACTCTTCTGTAAACTCTATGGTTAATTTGAATGTTCCATCTTCGAAAGGAGTATCATGCGGCCTGAAACATAATTTTAAAACAATTAGTGAGAAAATTAAAAAAAAAAAAATATGTTTTAAAAACAAAAGCAGTAAAAATTTTTTTTTTTTGTATCGTTTTAAGTTTCCCCAAGTTACGAAAATTTTTAAAAGTATTTATGATACTTATTTTGCATAGAAAACACATTAAAATTAAAATTAACAAAAGTTTTTTTTTTTTTAAAACCGATTTCAATGACTCGAACACAAAAAATAAATTTCAAATATAAGGAAATTTTTATTGTTAATGTTAGTTAATAAAAATTTTTTAGTAAGAGTAATAATTTATAGAAAAGTATAAATAAAAATTTAGATTTAATCAGCTTTTAGTATAATTTTAATGTTAATATACAATAACTAACCCAAATATCACAGCATTCCAAATCATAATATTGTTATCTGTTGGAGCCCCACTCACACCTGTAGGTGGATCTTCTTGAAGTCTATAAAAAAAAAAAATTAAAAATAAAATTAGTACAGTATGAAAAAATACTCTCAGTTTTTTATAGCTTTTACATCATAGACTATAATTTAAATAACCCTTATTACTTTGTTTTTTATGTATAAAAACTGGTTTATCCATTATACAGTTATTTAAATTACATGTTTCACATATGGACTCCTCTAAATTGAGAATACATATCATTTTTAAGTAATATTATATTAAAAATTTATATATATTTAACTTATATTTAATTATTTTATTTTTTTTCACTTTTTAACTATTGCCAAAATTAAAAAAAAAGAAACCATTTTTGTAAAGCCTGCAGCGTGCGTCAATCGATGACATAGGCAGACTATTTCACAATATTACAATCATAGAATATGAATAAAAAACAACGTAAGATAATGTATGTAACATAATTAAATAAAATAATTCGTTGTAACGAAAATTAAAGAACAATAAAATACGTCGCAGAAAAAGTGTCCGAAATTGATCTTGCATTCACGGACGCATAATGAATCGAGCTATTTGGGATTCATTTATGTCAAATATATAGAAAATATTTTCTTACCTTTTAAAATCTCTCATCAAACGCCTACGAGCTGGAGTAGACATTATCCTAAGGGTTTCTAACTTCAGAGTTCACTAAAACCCAGTAAAAATTTAATTATTTTCGTAAATTTCAACATATAAAATTAGTTTTTTGTATATTTTTTTACTTTTTCTTAAATTTCTGCTTTCTAACTCAGTACCACCAACTTCGAATTAAAAAAACAGTATGTTTAAATTAAATTGATTTCTGAACGTACTCTCGTTTATAAATAGAATTTGAATTGTTTTGAAACTTTATTTCAAAACAATTTTCTATAAATATATATATGAGTAACTTCAAAAAATGATATAAGACGAAATAAAACAAAGGGTAGAAGATATTTCAAGGATTAATATTGGGTTTAAAAATACAAAATGATTGTCATTTTATTAATAGAAAAATTTTATTTAAATATCTAAGTCATCATCTGGATCATCTTCAAAATCCAATGCTTCTAAATCATAAATAATATTTCCAGAACCAGTTTTATCTTCATTCCTGAAAAAAAAAAAAAAATTAAATTGGCAACACTTTCAATAAAAACTATTATGAATCAATTTTCTTAAAAAAAAATTATGCTTTTACAAAAAAGATATATTATTAAGAAAAATACCTTAGGTATGGTAATATTAACTGTTCTTTAGCTTTTTTCTCATTTTCACTCATTTTTAAGCCTAGTTTAAAAGTGGTTAAACCCTCAAAATCATTTTCTACTGATTTGTTTGAAGATGTTTGTTTATTAGAATGAATTTGATGATGAATTGTGAAATTATCATCTACATAAAATTCAGCCAATTGACTATTAATCTTTCCATTTGGTTTTTTACTTTTTATTTCTATTACTTTACAATTATTTTTATTTATTGCATTGAAATTATTGTTTGTCTGTAATTTTATTTGAATCATCGAAAGCATTTCAAATTTTTCTAATTCATTTGAGTCCAATAAATCATTATGAACCAAGCACACTAAACTTTTAACAAATGTTTTTAAATTTTTAATAAGTCTATATGTATTATAAAATCCTAAACGCTCAATTAAATGATTTAATGAGTCCACAAATACAAGTTTTTCAGACAAATTAGTTTTATCCGATAATATGTTATTAACATCTAAATTCAATTTTTCATTCCATCCGCAAGGATCACTAAAAAAATCATAAGTGACTATTTTTGCAGTTTTTTCTAATGAATTAGTGTAAAATTCCGGAGGATATTCAAAACATAATAAATAAGTATTTGTTGAAGATAAGTTTTCACTGTTAGACTTCAATAATCCAATGAATAAATCTTTACAGGAACATTCTACAGTATCTGAAATAAAATAATACAAATTTAATATTAAAAAAAACATAAATCCAAATATTTATTTTTAAAAAAGGCAAATATTTACCCTGTAAAATTAAAAAATTTGATAAAAGTTTATTGTCAACAATACTTCGTAACATTTTAGCACATTTAATACAAGAATTTCTGAAACCACGACACCGTGTCATTAATTATTAACAACAAAATACATTTATTACATAAGTTTAAATAAGTGTAAACTTGTTTTAAATAATAAAAAAAAAAATTAAAAATGATCGGGTTTGAGCATACAGTATTTGATTTAGCTTACAAAGGATTTTTCGATGAAATTAAACGAAAAGTTGAAGACAATCGAGATGTGGTTTTTTCTAAGGATTCTGTACGTTTTTTTTTTTATTTAAATTTGTTTAGTCATTACTTATTTACATTTTGTAAAATTCGTTTATTAAAAAAGTTTTTTAATTATAGAATGAAAGACTTCTTATACATTGGGCATCGCTCGGGGGTTTTCCACAAATTGTTAAATATTTAATAGAAATGAATTCTCCTGTTGATTCTCCTGATGATGTAAGTTTTTATAAAATTTTCCCCATTAATAATAAAAAAACAAAGTTTGTAACTTTTTTTTTTTTGTATTCTTGAAGATAGGTATGACACCTTTAATTTTAGCATCATCTGCTAATAAACTACAAGTTGTAGAGTTATTAATCGAAAAGGGTGCTAATGTTAACAGTCAAAATAATGAAGGGCATTCATCAATTCAATATGCGGCATCTAAAGGATGGAAACAGGTACAATTTCATTAAACTCTTAACTATCATTATCATCAACCATTTTTTTTTTTTCTCATCATTGTAAATACTCATCCCATAAATTATAGATTTTGGAATTACTAATAAAAAATGGTGCTGATGTTAACATAATGGATAAAAGACGAGCAACACCCTTACACAGAGCTGCTTCAAAAGGAGATGTTGGAATTATTAATCTGTTGTTAAGTTTAGGAAAAAATTTGGATATTAATGTTTCCGATGTTTATGGCAACACTCCATTACATTTAGCATGTGAAGGAAATAATTTTGAAGCTGCTAAAATATTAATACAAAAAGGTGCACAAATTGATGTTAAAAACAAAGAAGAAAAAACACCTTTAGAATTAGCTTCATTCGAAGTTCAAAAAATGCTTAAGAAAGTTATCGAAGAAAAATAAATTTTTAACATTAAAATATTAATATATATATTTATATAAAACAAAAAGAAATTTTCTACTTGAATTCATTTTTTTAAAAAAAAGTAATAAGAATAATAATAATAATAATAATAATAATGGTAATAATAACTTTGTATAATTTTATAAAATAAATATTATTGTATGTGTTTGTGTGTGTTTGTGTCTGTGTAATAAATATCGTAACATATTTTTTTGTTTTACTTTCATTTTTTTTTAAAGCAAAATATTTTTATATATATATATATATATTTGAATCATGTAAGAATAAGATTTACATTTAACTTTTATTGAATTCAAGTTTCATGTAAAAATTTTTTGTTACAGCATTTATTTAAACAGCTTGTCTTTCGATACTAACGTCAATAGTTTTAACTTTGGTACTGTCTTTTGGAACGAGTTGTAATTTTTCCGGTTCTGAACCCGGCATTATGATGCACATAAATGTTTTACCGGAAATAACATCTCTTGGATATATGGTAACAGGAGTAAAGTGTTCGGATGTGCCCTCGACGTAGGAACATAATTTTTTATATACTTCGGGAAATTGACGCCTCAAACTAACACCTCTTTGTTTTAATTCTCTTTGAATGTTAACAAAGCTTATTTCCCGTATTTTACGCTCTGGAATTTTACCCGTAATGCCCGGTAAGGAAGTTAATATTAAAGTGTCAGGATTATCCATTTCCCGCGTTATTCTAACGCAATCCGAAGAAGTTTGTCGTGGCGGAAGCGGAGGCGGTTTTTGTTTATCTTCTTTAGCAGGTAACAAAGATTTATCTAATGTGATTTTACAACATCTGGAAACCAATTGCCTTTCCCATTTGACGGCACCCGTAGTTGGCACTTCACTAACAACACAAACGGCTACATATAAAACAAGCCTCGTATCAGGATTATAAGATTTACAGATTTTCATTAATTCGGCAAATAAATCCGCTCCCATTTCGGCGGGTAATAAATCCGACCACTTGACGTAAGCCGGTTCTCCCAATTCGTCGAAACCTCTGGCGACAAATTTCTCTGCTAATTCGGGACTGGAAAAAAATATTTTAACGGCTCCTCGTCCGTGTGTTAAATATCCTCTACGTGCCAACGTTGATAAATGATGTAACGTTTTACCATCTTCTTTTGCAGCGGCTAAAACTTGACGACACAAAGCTCCAACTCTTGAATGTAAACAAGTACGTCTGTGACGTTCCCAATGTGCTCGCCTACATTCGCGGGAACAATAAACGTGCGAACAATTATGACACGTTTTAAATGTTCTCTTGGCTTCCATGATGCTTGCCGTTTTACCACATTTTGAATATCGGCATTTGACAAGAGTTCCACTCATATGAGCATGATGTTCTTTAGACACGTTTGTTTCCCCTCTTTCAGTATCATTATTTTGGGATTTTTTTATCCTGTGTTCCGAATTTTGACGGACTAATCCCACGTCACCGCTTACGCCACTACCACCGTCGCTTTTCCTTCTACGACTCATTACTTCCTTTGCGAAATCCGCATTCCCAGGATCGCTAGCTGATTCTGTAATGTAAGAATAAATTTTAATTTTAATTTTATTATTATTATTATTATTATCATACGTCGCCATCTTGTTTAAAAACCGGAACAATATTAATTTTATTTGTTGTTTAAAGATAAGCATATAAAAATTTTCAACGTGACGGTGCTTAAAAATTAGTGTTTAGAAATATGATAAGTGCCCTTTTTGTTGTTATTATTATTATTATTTTTTAAAATGAATTATTTGGAGTTTAAAACAAACAAACAAACAAACAAATGAAGATTCACGAACAATAGTTGAAGAAGAGAAAACAAAAATGTGCTGATGATGAATCTTATGAAAATTTAATAAAGAAAAAAAAAAGAAAAAAAGTTTGAAAGAAAAAAAAAACAAAAAAGTAAATAATAATAATAACAATAATAATAATAAATAAAAAAATGTTGAAGTCATAAAAGAAGAGAGAAAAAGTTGAAACTTACAGGGCACTCCTACCTGAGACGTTCGCTCGAATATCACCCCAACTTTGCCTTTGGTGTTGCCGTTCGGGCAAAGATAGAAGAAGTGTACTACGACTTTGTCCGGGACTGAAGGCGGCTGTCGTCGCTATCGACAGCGAACCGGGACTGGGGGACCGTGATGTTGGGGGCAAACCCAAAAGGGAATCCAATATATCATCAAGCGTGGTCGATGTGGGATTGGGTCTCTTTTGAATATCACGAAATGTATTTTCGACCCGTTGTTTCGCCACCGACGGACTACCCTCTATAAAACAAAATATAATAACTAAAACTTTCTCACGTATTAATTAACTATAAGAAAGATGTAGACACGTGCACACGCACACGCACACGCACACGCACACACGCACAAACCGTTAGAAAATTGATATTGATAATTAATTATTATTAGAAATGAAATAAGAAGAAAATTGGATTAAAATAAAGTGTGTGTGTGTGTGTGAGAGAGAAAAAATAAAAAAAATGAACAAACAAACAGACAGACAAACAAACAAACAAACAAACACTTTTTTTTAGACGCCATCACACGAATAATAAAAAACAGAAGAAAAAAAAGAATAAAATATTTTGTTATAAAAAAATGAGTTAAAGAAATATATGCTCATCTTGAAACAAAATTTAAGAAAAAAAAAAAAAATTATTTTAATTTTTTAAGCCTTTCGGCCATTTAACTTACCATACACATCCGGTATAAAATGTAAAAACTTTTTTTTTTTTTGTTATTAATCAATCAATCAATCAATCAATCAATCACGATCAATTATGAAAAATATTTAATAAGTAAAAAAAAATCAATTCAATCAATCAATCAATTATTATCATCATCATAATTAACTGCAAAAAAAAATTATACAAAAAAAATATAAAAATAAAAATAATATAAACCGGAAACGGAAACGTAAAAAAAAAAAAATTTTAAATTTATTAACGTCCGAACAATTTCCTCTTTCCCCCCCCCCGGATCGTGACGTTATCACAAACGTTTCTTATCACTCTCCTTTAAATATTTAAATTTAAAAAAAATTTTTAGCTTTTCCCCGCCCCGCGCTCCGCCCCTTTCGGTAACATTCGCTCGTTACGTCATAACGAAATTTTTTTTTTTTTTTAAATTAAATTCGTGCAAATCAATAATTAAGTATTACGTGTATGTACATAAAAAAGCATGTGAAATTTCCAACAACAGCAACAGCAACATAACCCATCATTAAATTTCAAAAACGATTCCAATAAATGATCTTCTACAAAAACCGACAGGAAAAAACTAAAAAAAAAAAAACTAAATTTTTAATTAACAACAACAACAACAAACAAAATAAGCATTAATATTATTATTAATAAAAAAAAAAAAAGTTGCAAATAATTATCAGCTTTTTTTTTGTAAAAACTTTCTACTTACCTTTAATTAAAATTAATAATAATAATAATAATAAAACGCAAAGTTATCGTCGTCGTCGTCGTCGTTTCCTGTTTAAAAACAAACAAACAAACAAACAAACACACACACGCACGCACAACAAACTTTTATTATTAAATCCTTTTTAATATATATAAAAACCGAAATTAAAATTTACAATGAATTAAATTTTATATATTATATTATAACCCACGAATATAATTTTAAAAATTATTATTATTATTATTATTATTATTATTATTATTATTATTATTATTATTATTATTATCCTTTTACCTCTCTCTCTCTCTTCACATCCTTCTCCCCCTTTCCCCTTTCCCCCCTTACTCCCTCCATATAAATTTTTTTAAATTTTTTTTTCAACTCGTAAACTTTTTTATATTGAATAACACAAGAAAGAGAGAGATAGAGATAGATAGATAGATAGATAGAGAGAGAGAGAGAGATTTTAATTAATAATTAATAAATTTATTAAGTTTAATTTTAAATTCCGTTAAATTTTTTTTTAAATTAATTAATTAATTTAATTAACTATCTCTCTCTTTCTCTTACGTTTGAACGACCGACATCAATAAAATTATATAAATAAATAAATTATGACGTCACAAAAACATGCATTTAGAGCGAAAAAAAGCAGCAGCAGCAGCAATAATAATAATAATAATAATAATAAATGAAATGAATTTTATAAACGCGACGTACATACAATTTTAAATAAATAAAATAAATAAATAAATAATTAAATAAATAAAATAAATAAATAAATAAATAAAATAAATTATATAAAATATAAAAATTATTTTATACTGATAAATTTATATTTACAAGTACAATTCACAAACGATACATATAAATATTATCAAAAAAAAAGAAAAAAAAAAAAAATATATATATATATATATATATGCGTGTGTGCGTGTGCGTGTAAAATTATAAAATTGCCTTTTTTTTTTTATTTATTAAAGCAGTAGAAATAGTATTAAAAATAATAATAATAATAATAATAATAATAAAACAGTCGACGTCATTATTACACTTCATGTCACATCGCACACGTTATAAACTGAGAAAAAAAAAGAAATTCCTACGTCGTTTTTCGATTTAAAAAAAAAATTATATTCGTAATTATCATCATCATCATCGCCGTCGTCGTAATCACTATTATCATTATTAATAGTACCGGAAAACCGCCATTTTTTTTTTTAAATTTTCGCTCGTTTTCGAATGAAATGTGAAGCATCGACAATCGATATATCGATTTTTTTTAAATTTTTCCTTTTTCTTTCCTTTTTTGAAAATTCAAAAGTTTCAAAAAGGATGAAAAAAATAAAACAACAATTATTATTATTATTATTTCTATTCCTATTATTATTATTATTATTATTATTATTATTATCATCATTTTTTTTTCAAACGAGTGAAAGTAAATTAAAAAACGTCCTGAAATTTAAAAAAAAAAAAAAAAAACCAACTCAACCGTAAAAAAAAAAATTATTTATTAATAATAATAATGATAATAATAATAATAAAAAATGCAACCGATGGAAATTTTATTAATAATAATAATAATAAAAAATAAAATTTTCGTTCGAATCGTATATATCGAGTCGTTTAAAATTATTCGTATTTCATTTTTTTTTTTTTTCAATCGTATGTCTCCCCCCCCACTAAATAATAATAATAATTATTATAATTAATAAAAAAATTTCACCGGAAATCGAATCGTTTTCGCAGAGTGTAAACATAAAAATATATATTAACTTGAAATCAAGTTAAACCGGAAGTGACCGTTTTTTCCCCCCTTCTTACGCACATATCAACAAACAAACAAATGATAACGATTACGACGACGATAATAATAATAATAATTATAAAATTAAAGGTAATAACTCTATGCAAATAAAAAAAAAAGGCAACCACGTGGTCATTTATATATATATATATATTTTTTTTTTTTTAAAGCCTTAAAATAATAATAATAATAATAATAAAAAATTTCAAAATCACCGCACAAATCTCTCTCTCTCTCTCTCTCTCACTCTTTATTGTCGTTTTTCTTTCTTTTTTTTTCTCATTAAAAAAAGAAAATTACGTTTATAAAAAAAAAAAAATATATATATATATATATATATATATATATATATATATATATATATATATATATAAATTTATATTATTGTCAATATTTATTATCAAAATTAAATTAAACCTAAATTTATTTATTTAAAAAAAAAAAGCCGCCATTTTAAAAGCTGCCCTCGTAAATGTGCGTTTACAATATATACTTTTGTGTTCAATAATAAAATTAATATCAAAAAAAAAAAAAAAATTTTTTACGCTCAATAAATTAAAAAAAACTGAACATGTACATAACATCTAAGAACCAAATAAAAAAAAAAAAAAAACTATGATAGGTGTTTATTTATTCTATGTAAAACAAATAATAATAATAATGATGACCAACATTATCTAATCCATCCTCCGTATTAACAACTACTGCTATCATTACGAAATTTACGTGCCACAACAAATTAAAAAAGGGAAAACACTTTTCTTTTTTTGTTTTGCGTTTAAAAAAATTAACCTTTGACCTTAGGTCAGCAAAAACTCACCGTTCATTCGATGAGAATTCAAACACGTCGTCGGATTTGATTCCGTCGTCGATTTGTGCGGCGTTAAATCCAAATACAAATCGTTTCCGGCTCTCGTTCCCGGTTTTATGGAAGACGTCTCGGTGAGACTGAGCGGAGTTTCCGGTTGATCCAACGGTTTCGAACCCACGAAAGAGCTTTCGACCCAGCAAAGTTTCCCGCTCGAACCTCTCGGAGACGATTGCCTTCTGGGACTCGAATCGGGAGGAGAAGTTCCCGATTGGTACGACGACCTCAATCCTTCTTTCGACCCGTTTTCCTGCACCCCGGAAACATAGTGAACGATGGCGGATGTCACCTCTTTAATTGACGTCCGAACTTCTGACAAATTAAGGTTTATCGACGACTGAAAATGCATTAAAATCATTTTTTTTTCCAAAATTCAAATTAACGAATATCGATTCGATTCGATTCGATTCGATTTCGCCATTTTTTTTTTTTTTTTTATATTCGATATTATTTGTAATCAAAAATATCATATTTTCTTTCGTGAATAATAATGATAATAATAAAAAAAAAAAAAAATCTTTTGCCGCGCGATTAATATATAATAATGCATTTTCGGTTTGTTTGTTTTTGTTTGTTTGTTTGTTTTGAAAAGCATATAAATTAAATAATTACCTGACTGTTTGTTGATGATGCGTGTTGTTGTTTTTGTAGTGGTAAAAGACCCGCGGCCAACCTTTCTGCCGGTGTTCTCGGCCTCGTAAGCCTTTCTTGCGATCTCCATCCCAAATAAGGTTGCCTGTAATTAAACGATGACCTCAGAGATCCCGAGGGTGACGTAGATGATGAATTTAAACCGCTGCTTAATCTACTCGTACTCCATCTTGTAAACAAATGCGGGGTAGGGCTTGGACTCATGACGTGACCTGAAAATGATAATAATAATAATAATAATTTTTTATGTACCGTAATGAATACTTTAAAGGATATTAAATTCATTCGATGCCTGCCCGTTAATCCGTGATCGGAAAAATACAATTATTATTATTAATATTTTTTATATAAATGCCAGGTTAAAATTTAAAAAGAAAAATTATCATTAATGTTATGCAACCATTTTTTTTTTTTTTTACGTAAGTAAATGCTCGTAATTATTATTATTATTTTTCAAATAAATTTATTTCCGCGGAAATTTCGCAATAACGTTAAATAACGCGTATAACGCGTAAAACATTATTAAATTTATATTTTTCATAATCTTACAAAAAAAAAAAAAAAAAAAAAAAAATGGCTTTTAAAAATATTTTACAAACTGTCAAAAAATTTCTAATCATTTTTCCATTTTTCTTATCACCCCCCCCCCCCCCACCTTAACTAATCTTGGCAGGTAATTTCCTTCCCCTCCCCATTTGTATTAAGTAATGGAATAAATTTTTTAATATTAATATACATGAATCACGCATGCAATAACGAAAAATAAAGTATAAACATTTTTTTATTTACATGACGAGGAAAACCGCAAAAATGAAATGCGGATTTAAAGAGGAAAAAGGAAATGAACTTTTTTTTTTTTTTTTATCTTTTCTTTACTCGATATAAAAACGTAATTAAAAAAAAAAAAAAAACAATTATAAATAAATAAATTTTTTTTTAATTATATCAAAACGAATTACTTTGAAAAAGAAATAAAAATCAAATGACGATAACGGCCATTTTGTTTTTATTTACGAAAAACGTCACCGGCGGAAAAATTATTATTTAAATGCTTAAAAAATTCGACGGTGGCGCCACAACTCAAACATCTATTTTTTTACTCTATGGATTTAAACCGACCAATCAAATCATTTCGTTGAAATAATCACAGCGGTATCACAACTACGTTGCACAACTTGTTGCCCTTTTTATACACATTAATTAATAGAAAAATTTATCATCGCAATAAAATAATTTATTATTAAAATCTCATTTATTATCATTAAAATATTAATAAAAAATTTTTAATGACCTCCATATTTGTTTCTACAACTAACAAACGAAGATCCCCATACGATATCCGTTACGATATTCTTTTTTTTTTTTTTTTAATTTTCTCTCCAATTATTTTCGCAATGTTGCGAAATTTTTTATTATATAAATAATTTATATTAAAAAAAAAAAATCAAATAAAAATAATAATAATAATAAAAATGCACGGAGGATATTTGTATAAATATTAATAATGACTTGGCAACAACATCAACAACAACAACATTTAATAAAAATTAATTGACCTCGATTGTCCCGAGGGATGATAAACAAGCAAATCCGGCTTCGTAAAACTAACCTAAAAAAATTTCAATAACGGTAATGGACATTAACTTAAACGGTTCTTTTCCTTAATTCCTCAACATATGTTCACAAATATGTGAATTAAAAAAAAAAAAAAAAAAAAAAAAAAGTCACGTGGTCAAGGAGACATTTTAAAATTTTTTAATTCCCTTCCTTTGAATATTTTTTGTTTGTTTCCGTTTTAAATTCGGTCACGTAAAAGTGAGAACAACGACGGGAAAATAATAATAATGATAATGATAATAATATAAAAATACTCACTCGTGGGACTTTTGATTGCCGTTTGCTGTGCGGATCCCAAACTTGATAGAGAAGTCGTTTTCGATCCTAAACCCGGCCATCTTTGATTTTCCTTTTTAGAATCCGAATTTCTTTTCAGGAGAAAACCTTGTGGAGTTTGTGATACCGCCGAGGATTTGTACCAATCTGGAATATTCAATTTCTGTAGGGATCTTTGAACTCGTAATTGATGCTCAGACATGACTCTTTCCCCGGTTCCTCCTTTTTGCAATTCATTTTCCGGAGGCTGTGAAAAAAGAAAAAATGCAATAAAATAATTTAAAAAACTTTTAACTTTTTTTTTTTTTTTTCCTCATTCTCTCTCTCTCTCTCTCTCTCTCTGACGATTCTCCACGAATTATTATTTTATTACCATTTAATTCCACTCAACCTGTTGTGTGTGTATATACGTCGTTAGTCCTTAACGGACTAATCTAAAAAACTGATAATAATAATACTAACTAACCTAGGAAAGATTATTTTTATAATAAAGCCTTTAAAAAAAAAAAAAAAACCACACATTTTATTATTAACATTTTATCAGTTTGTTTATTTATTATTATTATTATTATTATTATTATTATTATTATTATTATTATTTTTATTTTATTTAATACCAACCGCAAAAACCATAACTGAAATACTGAAAACGTAATAAAATAAAATCGTTAAAAATTTTTTTTCTTGTAATTTTTCCTTTCTTTTTAAATTTCCTTTTAAAAAAAAAAAAAAATGAATAAAATTTGCGTATAAAAATTTTACAAAAAAAAAATGCAACAGCAACAACAACAACGACAACGACAACCTTTGACCTTTATTAATTAATTAATTAACATGAGCCAATTTATTATCATCATTATTATTTTTAAAAAAAGCAATTATTAAAGGTAATTTTTTAACGAAATTAATAAATCAGGGAAAAAAAAACATTCCAGACGAATGGAAAAGTAAAAGGGAGTAAGGGGAAGAAGGAGAAGGAGGGAAGAGAAAGGGGGAGCCATGGGGGAGGGGAGGAGTTAAAAAAAAAAAAAAAAATTAAGTTTTAAGGCTTGACAGTAATTAGTTTTTGACTACGCTTAAATAAAACTTTTAACTTTTTAACTTTTTTTTTTTTTTTTTTTTTTAATTATAAATACACGTCACCGAGTTGAAAATTTTAAAAATTATACAAAGTCGAAAAAAAAAAAAAAAAACGTTTTTGTACGTGACTTCCCTCCCTCTCTCCCTCCCTTCCCTCCCCCGGAAAAGTTTCGCGTTCGATTCGCATTAAAAAAAAAAAAAGAAGAAAAACGGGGGGCAAAATAAATTTCAGGTTTTTTTACAAACTCTTTAATAATTAAAAAAAAAAAAAAATTAACAAATCAAATTAAAAAATTTACCGGTTTTATTATTATTATTATTAAATTTTCTTTCCTTTTAGGGATAGTATATATACATAAATATTATCTCACGTTTGTTTTAATATCAGAACAAACAACAACAACAATTTCATTTTCATTTTTTTTATAAAAAAAATTAATTCTTCATATGATTTCGTAAAATTCCTTCGGGCGAACAAGAAAAAAGCAAAAAAAAAAGCGAAAAATCCTTTCACCCGAATAATAATAATAATATTTTATTATTTAACAATAAACAAAATCGATATTTCATTAAATATATATAAATAAAAACATTTACCACAAAATTGTTTATTAAATACATTTTCAAAACGACGTCGCCATTTTTCTTTTCTTTATTCACCGGAAACCAATTAAATTTTTTTTTTTTTTTTTTGAATCGACTTCCGCCAATATCAACCTCAACACAACAGTAACAACCTTATAAAATTTTCCTTTTAAAATTTTTACGGTTAATAAAAAATTCTCGATTCACAAAGTTAAGAAGAAAAAAAAAATTTAATAAAAATAAAAAACTCACCCTGTACAAATATCTTTTATATATTTTCGCTTCGCCATCTTTTAAATTATATTTCGGTATATTTTTTTTCACAACATCTTTAAATTTAAATTTAATCATTTAGAAAAACAAAACGGAAACGACGGTTACGAGTACGAACATGATAATTATTTTTATATAAGTAAAACTCATTTTAATACAAACAAGAGGGTAAAAAAAAAAATGTCAGGAAAAGTTAATTAATGTCCTCTTTCTATCTCTCTCTATCTCTCTCTCTCTCTCTCTCCCTATCTCCCTAACTCTCTTTTTAGTCCCGAACGTAAAAAAAAAAAACAAAAATTAAATGATGATCTTCATCTGATACGTTTCCGTTACCAAATTATTACTATATTTAACCTCGAACGTTTTTTTATAACTCGAATATTAATAATAATGATAATGATAATGATAATAATAATAATAATAATAATAATAATAATAGAAACGATGCTAAACGATTTATTTACATTATTGCTCTACATTAACACTTTAATAATAATTTGCAAAAAAAAAAAAATTTTTTTTTAACCATTGGCGTAATTAATGATAATTTTATTATATTTTTTTTATTATTAAATCAATGTACGTTTTTGACGTGGCATTAGAAAATGAATTCGAATCGCCCAACAAACGAAACAAACAGAAAAGTCTCCCCCCGAGTGATGGTACGCTCATGATTTCTAAATTTTAATTTGCAACTTACTAAACAACTTAAAAAATAATTAACAACGTCGAAAAAATTATTATTATTATTATTATTATTATTATTACTTCCCACGAAATTAAAAAACAGAAAGAAAAACAACAAACAACAAACAAACAACGAGAAAGAGAAAGAAAGAGTCAGAGAGAAAGAGAGAGAGAGAGAGAAAAAAAGTAATTTTTAATTGTTTTTTTCCCTACGCCTGAAAAAAAAAACCAGTAAATATTGCACATAAAGAACATTAACAATAAAGAAAAAAGAATAATAATAATAATAATAATAATAATAATAATAATAATAATAATAATAATAAATAAAATAATTTCGCTTTGATGCAAAATTAAAAACAATAAATATTCGTTACGGCACAAACAAACAAACAAAAAAAATGTCTTTTGTGTTGTTTTTTGTTTTTTTAAATTTAATTTTAATAAAAGAAAAAGTTTTAATTTTTTTTTGAGAATTTTTCACACGAACAACCATAATTAATAATAATATTCGAGAGTCATAAAAACCCTACGGGGGGAAAAAAAAAATAATAATAATAATAATAACAATTCGGTGTGAATTACATTTATGTACGCGTACAAACACACATAAAATGATGTAATTAAAAATTTTCCTTTCCCTTTTCGATTTATCCTTTCGATTCGATATATCGATCACTTTCACATTGATCGATTCCGCGACAAACAAACAAACGGAAATCATTTTTTTTTTTTTTTTTAATAAATAAATTCTAGGAAGACAGCAAACGAGGAAAACGTAAAAAAACGTAAAACTTACGATTTCTAAAAATAACATCAAATCAATTCCATATTCAAAACTTTCCCCATCGTCGTCATCATAATCATTATCATCATTATCATTATTATTATTAACATTTTTTTTTCTTTTACGCCCGATATAAACAATCGAATTTTGTTTTAAACCGTCCGCGGGTGAATCACCGAAAACCGCGACCGTTAATAATTTTATTATTCCATTTAAAATCCTTTTGAATATTTCAATTTTTTTCCTTTCTTTTAACTTATTCATGTTTTTACCAAAAAAAAAAAAAAATTTAAATTTAAATTAAAAATTTAAATTAAAACTTAATCTGTCAAATTTTTTTTAATAAATGACACAATTTTTCCTAATTTTCCTTTTGCTCATCCTTCGTAATCCGATCGCAGGGAAAAACATGTCCGAAACAAATTTTCTTTTGTTTTGTTTGTTTGTTTGTTTGACCTACTATACTATTATTACAATCATCATCATCATCATCATCATAAATATTGTAAATGTAATGTAATTTAAGGCAAATACGATATCAGAGTAGTTTTAACGTGTCGTTAGTCATTTCGTCGGTCGTGGCAGTAACCACGACAAAAAAAAATAAAAATCAATTCGATTTTGTCAACAACAAACTCACCTCTACGATACATTCCAGAATATTTTCACGCATGCGCATAACATTTAAAAAAATTCTATTAGATAAATTTTATTTTTATTTTTATTTTAAAAAAAAATTTTCTTTTTATTTTAATTCGAACGCGACTCTTACGTCTTTAACGTGACATTTTGTTTTAAAAAAAAAAAAAAAAAACGTTCGTTGCGCGTGATTTTTAATTCATAATCATTTTTTTTCCCTTTTTTTTAACTTTTTTTTAGAAAAATGAAAGTTTGTAAATATCAGCAAAATTAACAGAAAAAAAAAAAAAAAATCTGTTTGTGAAATTTAAAATTTATAATAATAATAATAATAATAATAATAATAATAACGATAATGATTTTTTCTTCTTTCATTTTCCGACGTATAAAAATAATATTAATTGCGTAATTACGTAATTAATAAAAATATTTATTTATTTATTTATTTATTTATTTACAACCGCGTGAGTAAGATTGTGCGTTCGTTTAAATTAAATTACGTCATATTATAAAACATTCGCTAAGCCTATCGAGATTCGATATTCGATTATCGATTATCGATTAGAAACGATCATGACGAAACGATGATGATGGTATCGATTTATTTTTTAACATTAAATTTATTACGATCGATCGATTGTCCTTCCCGATGGACAATCAATCCTTCCCCTTCCCTCCCCCCCCAGCACCACTACATTTTTTTTTTCTTTTACATTCTACGGGGACGTCAAGTTTAAAACGAGGGTCCGAGACTATATCACATATCGAAATCATCGAAACGTGAACGAATTCCTTTTAATTTTTTCGCGACGTATTTCGCGTTTATGTCAGTTAGTAAATAGGCACCACCGCCGCCTCGAATCCTTATCATTTTCTCTTATCAGAAAACCTTTCATTTTACGTAACCGCATAGTATAGTAATAATAATAATAATAATAATACTTCATTTTAAACGAAACGTTTCCGCTATCGGTCGTCTCTCGACAAAGTTATTATTATATATATACATTTCAAATAAGAAAACAAAACCGATAGTGATAATAATAATAATAATAATAATAATAATAATAATAATAATGAAAGTTTGTTTATAACAAAAAAAACTTGGTTCGTCATTTTAAACATTCACAAAGTTACGAAACAAATCAAAAAAAAAAAAAAAAATTAAAATTGAAAATTATTTATTATTTGAAAACAATAGAATTACTGGGGAGAAACATTTTCGTCGTGTTTTTATGTAAAAAAATGGAAACTGACGAATGATAATGATATATATCATTCGGCGTCTCTCTCTCTCTCTCTTTCTGACATTTTTGTTTTTACGATTTTTTATTATTTTCAAAGAGAGAGAGAGAGAAACAGCTTTTGATCTTTGACAAATGACTAATAAATAAATATATGGATATATACACATAACAAAATTTAAATGAGGAAAATCGATACGACGTGCGTGAATGCCATCGTAAATATATACGTACGCATGTGTGTGCGTGCGTGAGTGTGCGTGTGCGTGAGTGCGTAAACACGGATCAAAAACGAAAAAAACGAAAAAGAAAATCCCTCACTTTCACGACCTTCATTAAAAATTATATTTGAGGTCGTTTGTCAATTTTTTTCGCAAAGGGCCAAATGAAAAATAACACCTATTATCGCGTTGACAATTGAATGTTTTCTTTTTTTTTTTTTCCGTGATATTAAATCCTCTACGTCACAAAAAAAGTAAAAATACCTTGTAATATAATGGAAAGGATCATTTTATTAAATTGAATTTCCCATTACGAAAAACCCCTCACCTCCCCTCCCCCTCCTCCCCGAAAAAAAAAAAACTGGGACGCGAAAAAAAAAAAAAACGAACCGGATCGATTTCGTTTTGAAACGCGTATTTTCTCTCTCTCTCTCTCTCTCTCACGGGCATCTTCATACGAAAAAATAATAATAATAATAATAATAAAAATCTCACATAGAAATTACAAAAAAAAATAAAAAATAAAATAAAAATTTAGCAGGGATCCATCGGTAAATTCCCCCCACCACCCCCCCGCCACCCCACCGGGTCGATATAGAATGTAGGAAAATTGCGGAAGGTCGCGCTTAAGATGAAATCATGGCGCATGTTTTATACTTTTCTCTCTCTCTCTCTCTCACTCTTTTTATTTTATATTATTACACAACAACCTTCGGTTTTTCTATACACTTTATTTAATATTTTATAGATTTTTCGAATAAAAAAAAAACTGAATTAAAATTTTCTTTAGCCTTTTTTTTCGCGACCCTACTAAAAAAAAATATTCTTCACATTTTGACATTTTTAACCTACATTCCAGAAAAAAAGAGAAAAAGAGAAAATTTTACCATCCCCACTCCGGAAAAGTGTCACAAAAAAACACTTCAACGTTTCATTTTTTCTTTTCGATAAAGTTCCATAGAGAAGAAAAAATGGCGTTTAACAAAAAAAAAAAAAAAGTCATTAAAAACAATAATTTATTACCGGTAAAAAGAAAATTTGAACGCCATTGACCCCCCCCCACCGCCACCCCCATCACCGATCAAGACAACATCGAAATCACGATAAAATTTTTATTTACGACCTTTTTTTTAAACAAAAAAAATTGCAACATTGTTTTCGCCATTATATGCGATAATTTCACCCGCCATTTTTTTTTTTTTTTTCTAATGACACGAGGAAGTGCTACCGTAAAACAAAATCTACAATCAAATAATAAAATTTTTTTTATAAAGTTATAATTCCATCGACGAAATAATATATTTAAAAAAAAAACAAAGAAACGTCGTAATTATTATTGTTAACCGTGGCACGTACAACACACGCACGCACACACGCACGCACACACATCATGGCATGGCAACACGATCAATTTTTTGATTTTTATTATGGTATGAAAATTTGTATTCGTTTTGAGTTTCCTTTTTTTTTTTTATGTTTTCTTACTACATTCGCACCTAACAAGTTTTTCTTGTCGAGCCAAATAAAATAAAAAAATAAAAAAATTCCCTTGCTTATTATTATTATTATTATTATTATTATTATTATTACAATAATTGTTCACTGCCTACGTCACTCACAATACCCATACCTTCTTTTACCAATTACCCATAATAAAAAAAAAAAAAACTTGACTTTTATCGCGATTCGATTCGATATCTCGAACCTCATTCCTATAATCGTAACTACTTTCACGTACCGGACGCATTTCTATTCCGCAAATTAATATTATTATTACCATTGGAAATCATGATAAATCGATCGATCGATCGATTGATTGAAAACCAACGGTTGCGTCGACTTCCGGCATTTCATTATTATTATTATTATTATTATTATATTTTCATTCGTCACATACCGTGATGTGCCGTGAAAAAAAAAAAAAAAAAACGTTTTAAATACCTTTTTTTTTTTTTTTTTTTTTAACAACGCTTTGATAAAATGACTTCATTTTGATTTTTTTTTTTTTAAAGAACCAGAATGTTAATTCAAATCAAACCAAAAAAAAAAAAACAATTTTTTAAATACAATAATATAAATAATAATAATAATAATAATAATAATAATAATAATAATAATAATAATAATAATAACCTTGACAAATTCAACATTCAAACGTTTTCATTTCATTTCATTTTTAATACGCATGTTTTCGTGAATTAAAATAAAACAGGTTAAACCATTATTATTATTATTATTATTATCATTATCATCATTATCATTATCATTATCGCTGTTATTATTATCATTATTATTATTATTATTACTGCGTTCGTATCATTGAAAAAAAAAAAAAAAAAAAAAAAAAAACATTTTCAACGATTTGCATTGGCAAGGACAAACGGAAAACAAACGTTGAATTCGATTACAAAAAAAAAAAAAAAAAAAAAATTACGTAAAGGTGAAATTTTCAATTTTCGAAAAAAAAACTAACTTTTAATAAAAAAATTTTCATTTGATCGTATATTACGCGGAAGGGGGGGGGAAGGAAGAGAGAGAGAGAGAGAAAAAAAAATGTCTGCGTTTCGAACGAATGGTTAATAGCATTTAAAATAGATTTTTTTTTTTTTTTTCACGGTTTCATGAATATCTACCCACGTTTAACTGCAATTGAAATTTTGCATTTGAAAATAATATATTATGTACGTATACGAAAAAATAATAATAATAATAATAATAATAATAATAATAATAATAATAATAATAATAATAATAATAATAATAATAATAATGATTCCGCGATTTCAAGTGTATTTGTTATGTAAGACTTTTAATCGGTTATTTATATTATTTTTTAATAATAATATTTACAACGAACGTAACTGTAAATTTTTTTTTTTTTTTTTTAAAATTGGGGCCTAAAAAAGATAAAATAATAATAATAATAATAATAATAATATTAAGAATGCTCATGATGATGATAACGTTATCGTTAAAAATTAAAGGTTTCACAGTCTCTCTCTTTAAAAAAAAAAAAAAAAGTGTAATTAAGGGATGAAATGTCGTGGCGCCAGGGAGTGGACATGTTGGCGCCCCAAATATATATATATATATACATTACGTTGCAATGCAGTTAAATAGTTGTTGGAAAATTTTTTTTTAAATTAAATAAAATCCCTTTTGTTTTTTTTTTAAACGAAATATAATGTTTTTGTACTCACCAAAATTGCAGCCTGATTTTCTTTGTCCAATAAAAACTCCATTGATTTGGCACGATCGTCAACTGCCACCGAACCGTGACTTCTGTGGGTAGGAGGTTCCAAATATCCCGATGGTAAATTCTCCTCTTGATTTTCGCGGACACTCATCATGTCTCCCAGGCCCAAATTCATCAAGCTCCTCGCCTTTTTATTGTTTCCGACATTGCTTTGCAACAAAGGCCTTCGCCCCGATATACTTTCAACCGTTATATGTGTGTCCAAATCGGTTTCCAATAATCCCACGGGTTTATTGCGATCGATTTGTTTCGGATCAGCATTACTGTTTAATAAACCCTCGGTGGAATCGTTATTATCCGTTGTAAGACATTCCGGAACTCCCGGCATATTTTCTTTACCTTCTGTTCCTTCATTCTGCAGTCCGACTGGCATGATCCCTGAAGAAAAATGCTTTCGAGTGTTACCGGACATGCGCTGAAAGTTGGGTGGCAAGGGTGGCTTGGATGAAACGACGTGAGGCGTCACCACCGATCGAAATACTTCTTTAACGTTGGCTTCGTTATCCGGACCGTGAAGGGGTATTATCATGACGTCTTCGTGTATTCCTCCGTTGCTAGCTGTCGCTGCGAAATGACCATCTTTGTCTTTCTTATCTTCTTTTTTACCGTTATGCTTTTTGCCATTTCCGCCAGATGCCTTGCGATTGCTCAGGCGTCGGAGTGAAAACCTTTCGAAAAATCCGCCAAAACGACTTTTAGACTTCTTCATCGTCGTCGTCGTGTCTTTACCGGAAGCGACTATGTGATCCAAATGTGCGCGATTATAACTTGTTTCGTCATTACCATGATCCTGCGTCGGTAAATTCGACTCGCTCACTGACAACCGAGTTCTTCTTTCCGCATTTGACTGCGCGGCATCACTGACAAACACGTGACCAGAAGAAGTGGGCGTAACACAAATTGTAGGCGTAACTGGTTTCTCTTCGATGCACGGTTCGCATCCATTTGGTGAAATATTTACATTAAAAATCATACCATCTTTATTTAGTCGTTCTACGGTCACAGGATTTCCTGAGCTTTTTACGGAATTATTTTTTCTTTGAGAAGGGCAAGAACCTTTATTCGCCGTCATGCTTTTATCAATCGTGCTAAGGTTTTGCTCGCTGACGCTTTTAAATTTAATTATGGGCACTTCCGAAAGGTCATCTTGAAGTGAATTCCTTTGCGCGTTGCACGTTACGTGACGATCTCGAGGAATTAATTTTTCTTCGATTTCGTGAAATTCTTCGTCGTCGTTTTCCATGTCGCGTAATTCTTCAAATGATCTATTGGAAATTTCATCCGTCGACGGGTCGGATGAAGAAGCCGTGGACGAAACTTCGCTGTAATTATCTTGCCAACTGACTTCCGAAACAACCGGACAAAAATGAACGCCCTTTATGCTTCCACTTATTTGAGACCCTTTCATCAATTCACTATTTAAATTAGTTTTTTTTATATCCACAAATTTATTTTTAATCACTCTCCCGTCGATATCGTCTTCGTCGAAACATTTAAGGGGAACGTGAGTCAGTGAAGACGACGAGGCCGATGGAATGCGTCGCAGAACATCGTCGACTTCCGAAAGTAAATTTGGAGTACTTAAAACTGGTAGTCTAGAGGTCTTTGCCCGATTATTATTATCAACACTATATTTGTCTAAATTAGAACTCATGTTTTCGAATGCAAAGTCATCGAGACTTTTACAAACGGTCAAATCGTCTTTCAAAAAATACTGATTTCCTAAATGTCTTTCTGGCCCGTTGAAAAAATTTGAATTTTTTTCCGTTTCGAGAGCATTAAATTCGGATTTTTTATTATTATTATTATTATTATTTGAACAAGAGCGAACGGAATCTTCAATTTCGTTACTGACGAGAGACGCGAACGGAACTGACGATGTTGAAACTAATTTTTCAATTTCTCCCCGTTTAAATAGTCCCTCCTCATCCGCGCTACAGCTAAACATGTGTGTTTGATTTTGGCCTGAGTTAAATTTAACATCAGCGTCATTTTGAATCAAGCCGTCGTTTCCTCTCACCTCTGCCTCCTGTATTTCGGTTATTTTTGAAGAAGAACCAATATTTTTATTTAACTTTTTACACTGTTCACGCCCTTCTGTGGAAACAACACTTCCTTCCTCGCTTCCGTTGCAGTCTGAAAAATTCGATGATGATGATTCTGAAGGAGAAGCATCTCCGTCTTCTGGAATGCTCAAAACTGAAGTTCTAAAATTTATTTTATTCGTTTTATCTTTTGGACGAAATTTGATCGTCGAAACCGCTGTCCTCACTCAAATTTTCAACGGAATGAAGGGATTTTGATGGAACGTTCAAGCAGGGATCCGATCTACCATGATTTTTGTCTGCATCGCACTTTGAATTTTCATCGATAGAAGACAATTGAACCTTGAGACCCTCGGCACTGTAAGATTTTCTTTTCGACGGAAAATGATTTCGTTTTGCTTTATTCTCTTCCGAGTAAGCGGATTTAAAATTTCTATATTGATTGGGTTCTTTGTAATGATAACTGGCGATATCTTTTCGTTTTCGAGATCTGCATCCTAGGCCCTTTAAACGAGTGTCGTACGGATCGGTCATGGTGGACAAGTCGGCTGTGGTGGCCGTAAGTTTCTTGTCTCTTATCACAAATTCCTGCTCTCGTTGTTTTTCCTTTTCAAAATCTAACGCGCTGTGACTTTGAGATAATTCTTGTAAGGTATAACTTAGAGGTGACAACGTTTCAAAGAAATTTAAACTATCGAAACTTCTGTATGATCTCAACCGAGTGTCATTACGAGATCGAAAATTTTCCCGCAGAGAATGAGAACGATGTAAGGTATCGACGGAAGAATTAAATCCACGTTCTTCGTCAGAGCTATCAAATTCGTCTAGTGATTCTCTGGGACTGTCTGGAGAAACAGTCCATCTCAAAGGTTCCGGAGGAATGTTGAATTCTGGAGGATCGGCCGAACTCGCCGATACTAGAATATCTTCGCAATGCTTTTCTAGAGATTCGAAAGTGATTAAACTACTGGATCTCGACGATAAAGAATTTGATTCGACATTATCCATCGGTTCGTCATCGTCGCTCGCAGAAAATTTTTCAAAAATTCGTCGTCTTCGTTTTTTGGGTACTTCATCACACCGGTCTTGCTGCGTTTTCCATCTTTCGACATCATCTAATGCAAAAAAATTTACCGTTACTATTTACAAACTTGAAAAACACTTAAATTTCCATTTTAAAAAAAAGTCGTACCTGATGGTTTGGGCAAATGAATTACACTGTCGGTATCCGAATCACTGTTCCAACCCGTGGGACCCGATTTATCAGACTCGCTGCACAAATCATCCGACGTTTCTTCCATGATTGTCTCCAAAACCAAATACTGTTGCTGACTTCCAGAAGAATTATCTAGAAGAAAAATCAATCATTAAACCAATTAGTTAATAAAACAGTACAAAAAAAAATATAAATAATAAGCAATAATAATAATAATAATAATTTCAAATAAACAAAACGTAATTAAATTTTATCATAAAAATTAAAGACAATCATCATACTTGTGTCAGGTGATGATGAAAAAATAAATGATATAAAGTATTTACAGGACGATATAAAATTATAATTGAACATGATTTATATATATATATATATTTTTTTTTATTAAATACAATAAATACGAACACAAAAAAAAATTTGTTTTCGTCCGTAAGATTTATTATTAATATATTTTTCCCTCTCTGAGATTTCTCCTCTATGCAAAACAGTCAAATAAGTTTTTAAAAAATTCTAATAGATGGCTGTGCACGACTTTTCATTATTTTAACAACAATTTTTGTTCCATTTAAATGAGAAAGATTTTCTTTTTAGACACTTACTACTACTTAAAAGTACATTTTTAAAAAAAAAAAAAAAAATTAATCATCCTTTTTTATTTATTTATTTTTTTTTTTTAAAAATATTAATATAATAAAATAGTAATAATTTCGCAAAAACGGGTAAAAAAAAAAAAAAAAAAAAAAAAAAAAACAAGAATTTCAACATTTTAAAATAGTAAAAAATAATAAAAATGACATTAAATTTTGACTTTTTTTTTTTTTTATTGTTGTTCCGAGTACGGAAATTTAAAAAAAAATTATTATTATTATTATTTTATTATTATTCCATATCGTTACGTTATAACTAAAAGTTTTGGCACATTTTATCATAGAGTAATATTATTATTATTATTTATAAAAAAAAATGGCCGCCAAAAGAAATGCCGTTCTCGTGATTCATTCAGGTATTAAATTGACGCACATGACGATGTGTTCCATTTTTTTTTTTTTTTTTTTTTCCCACAGCACACATCTTCAAAAATCTCCTTCCACAATTTTTTTTTTTTTTATCTTAAAGATAATGATGACATTATCTTTAATATTAAGAAAACCAGGTCAAAGTAGTGGAAAAATAATAATAATAATAATAATAATAATAAAATTTAAAGTACGATTATTTCATTTGCAATCGAAAAGAAAAACACTCGATAATTTTCACAACGGTTGATTTAAAGACGAAAAAAAAACGCAAAAAGTATTATTTTAATTATAATCAATTTCATTCAGGTGGAATGACCCAAAATAAAAGAAAAAGGAGACAACAACAACAACAACAACAACAACAATAACAATAATAATAATTATTATTATTATAATAATAAACACCTATTCAATGAAGATTGCATGCGTGCGACTGTGTGTGTGTGTGTGTTTGTATTTGTGTTTGTTTTTGCGTTTCGTGTTGTTGTTTTCCATTACGTTGTTTTTCATGTGTTTTTTTTTTTATTTTTTTTTTTATTTTGATATTTTCATTACCACCGATTGATTAAGTAATTACAAAGTGAAATAATGGCGAGAAAAGAAATAAAAGAAGAAAATACAATAACGCAATTTTTTACATACATAAACCATTTGCTACCGTCGCATAACCTTTCCATTAAAAACCGATATTGACCGAAATACGGAAATTGTTTTGTTTTTGTTTTGTTTTCGATTTCGATTTCGATTTTTTTTTTTTTTTCGAAAGTTGGCAAAAAAAAAAAAAAAAAAAAAATTATTAAAAATTTTTCGCACGGTTACTTTCTATGTAAATGCACATCCACCACATGATCTCTATAATAAAAAAAAAAAAAATATTTTGAAAGTGTTTTGTAACAAATTCGTGAAAATTATTTTACACAGTCGAGATTTTTTTTTTTTTTGTTACGAAATTCATTTTGTTTTTTTGCCTTCGAGCCGTCAATTTTTTTTTTTTATATTTCTTCTGCTTATAAAAAAAAATCAACGTTAAAAAAAAATTTTTCCATGTCTTTCAAAAGAATTATCATCAATCAATTATAGAAAACGGTAGCTTCGATTAGAATTAGAGAGAGATAGAGAGAGAGAGAGAGAGAGAGAGAGAGAGAGAGAAATAATTTCGTAAAAGCAATTTAAGAAGTATATCATTGAATTACAAACATGCATTTACACGCATACAAACACAAATACAAACTAACAAACATTTTCCTTTTCTCAATTTTCATTGAATTCCACATAATATAATTGAATAACAATTCAATTTTTTTTTCAAAAAGTAAATTTGCTGTCGAATGTAAAAAAAAACAATAATAATAATTTCGCCATCTTTTTATTCTCCCTCTCTCTCTCTCTCTTGAGGACTCGACTACACAATTAAATTTCAATTAAACTTATTAAGAAGAAATAAACGAACGTTTTTTTTTTACAGTGCAATTTATTTCTTTTGGTAACACCATAAACGAAAAGGTGTAAACATTATATAAAATTTCTAATAAAAATCCAAACGTCCAATAATATGCCAATAATGGAAAACATATTTTTTAGGAAAAAACGTGAACGTTCGAAAACAAGTCAATGAACATAACAACATATGTGATGATGGGAACAAACAAACAAACAAACAAACAAACACAACAAGATCTATTTAGCGAAAATAAAAAAAATTTTACTACTACTTTCTCACACATTCTTTTCCCATAATCGATGTTCACCACCACATCACATTATAATGTGTTGTTCTTGTGTCAAACAAAAGAAGGTAATTACTCCGACTATTACTATAACTACGTGTAACATACAAAAAAAAATGTTCAGAAAGTACAGAAAGTGTAAAAAAAAAAAAAAAAAATAACTCGAACTAACGCGGCCTGCAGTTAATTTTATTATTATTCGATTACTACCTTCTAGAATGTGCTAAAGTTAAAAAAAAATTATACTACGTGTGTGTATATATGTATACATAAACATCCAAGATGGAGGATACATACAAAGCGTGATTATTCACATCCAACCCAGTTATTTAAAGTTAGAGAGAGAGAGAGAGAGAGAGAAAACAAAAGAGTTATTTAACTAACTAACAATAATCATTAACTAAACTAGTCGACGGTACACATCATTTTACAATTTTTTGCGTGTGTGTGTGCAAACGTTTTGGAATAATAATAATAATAATTTTCACATAAACTAAGGTCGAAAAAGAAAATTCTAGATGGATTCTCACTATCCCTCCCTTCCCCCTCTTCCCCTTCTCCAACTCTCCTCCTCCTCCTCCTTCCCTCTCTCTCTCTCTCTCTTTTTCTTTCTTTCTATTTTTAAGGTTGTGTTATTCAATAAAGAATTTTTTTTTCCTTTTTCTTTTTTTTTAATACCAGTTTGGATAAAAAAAAAAAAATCCTACCAAACAATTTTTTTTTTTTTTTTTTTTTGGCTACGTATAATAATGATAATAAATGAACCCAGAAAAAAAAAAAGTTTTGGTTTTTTTTTTTCGATTATGCATCGGTTGGGTTAAATTTTATTATCATTATTATTATTTTTAAAAACGGACTCGACTGTTTCAATATGGATGAATGATTTGAGTTTAATGGTTTTAATTTTTTTTTAAATTACGTAAACGTAAAAAAAAAAAAAAAATTATCATGAGAGAGAAAGGTTTAACCCGAGTCAGGGGAAGGGATGATGATGATGATGATGATGATTAGGTAACACACCTATAAGCTAACAATACGAGCTTTCTCGTTATTGTTATTATTATTATTATTATTATTGTTCTTTTAGATAACATTTATGAATTTATAATTAGTAATAATAATAATAATAATAACAGTACGCCTTTTTAATTTACTTTCTAAATGACATTTGAAAAGAAAAAAAAAATTTTATTACAAGACATATTTAAACATGAATGACTGACTGATTGAAACAACTTACCAGAAAGAAAAGGATCAGGTTGTGCCTGAAAAATTTCTTGGATGGGTGAAGGTGGATGATAGCCGTAAGCAGGTAGCCAAGGACTCGCACGAGAGCTGGCAACAAAATCAAGATGATCGCTCCACTCCTTATATGCAATGTCTTCCATTTCCAAATATTTAGCACTCGACATTTTTTTTTTTTTTTTTTTGTTATATCATTTATATGTAACGCGTTTATTCTCAGGTAATTAATATCGTCGTAAACATTAAATAAAAAACAAATTATAAATAATATCTAATATTAAAATATCACAAAAAAAAAAGAAATTTATTTTTTAATTTAGTATATTATAATATGTTTTATCAAATCCCGAAATGAGATAAAACAAAAGAAAAAATTAACGAAAAACGACATAAGATATCACAAAATGGCGGAAAGGGTATCAAACGAGTTGTTCTCGCGGTCATCGAAACTTATTAGATTAATTTATAAAAAGGTCCAGGTATTATTGTACCTGGCATTTTACCCATCCGTCATTTTTTTCACATTAAACAATTACACTTACATTACACTACTAAAATTTCGGTTAATAAATTTCAAAAATGAATTTGACATATTCCGACGCGCACGCCAAATCCATTTACAACAAGCTACTCGCCACGCGTTCAACGCGGTTTATGACAGTAACAATAACTGAAAAAAATTTACCGTTGGATTTTTAATATAAATGGCAGGATTGTCAGAGCATTATGACGAAGGTCACCTGAGCGAGTCCTGCTCGTTAAAACTTTCATACTTTCATATTTTTTTATTAAATATTATTTTACTTTATATATATAAAAAAAAAAAAATTTAATCTTAAAAACATTAAAAAACAAAAACTAATTTTTTTTTTTTTTCCTAAAAAGATAAATAATAATTAACATGCATATATTTTAAAAAAATTTATAAAAATTTTGTAAAACATTATTATATAACATAAAAGGAAAAAATAATACCTAATTTTTTAACTAATAATTAAATAAAAATGCTTTGTTAATACACAGATCTAAAATAAATAAATAAATATTAAACAATATTTATTTATATAATTAAAAATAATAAACAAATAAATATATATATATAATAAATACTAATAATAAATTTGACAATTATGTAGAAAAATTACACTTTTTTCTACAATTAAAAACTCAAAAATTTAATAATAATAAAAAATGGCGCTTATTAATAAGCAACTATAATTTTATTATATTTAATTATAAATAATACAATTTATAATAAAAACAAAACACTAATAATTATTAAGAACGTTTAGTTTAATATATATATATATTATAATTAATAATAAAAAAATATTAGGATATAAATAAAAAACAAATTGCTTTTAACTTTTACATTTTTCTAAACATTTTATAAACATAATAATAATAATAATAAATTAATCACAATAAATTTAAATTTAATTAAAGTGCGTATTATGTGATTTTTGATAATGATAATGATAATAAACAGTCAATTATATTTTTTTAAATTGCTTATAAAAGTACGTTTAATTAATTAATTAATATATATTTACAAGTTTTTAAAAAAATTAAAAAAAAAGACTAAAAAAATTTGGGCACGTAAACCTTTCTTTAACTTTCCTTCATTTTCTTATTAAATTCTAAATTTTTTAAATTTGATTGTTAATTTGAGTAAAATAATTTAATTTTACTTTTAAAATTATTATTGGCACATTATTATGAGAAAAAAATAAAATAATTTTTTACATAACTAACTAAATTTTTTATAATTTATTTTGGCAAAACGTTATATTAACATTGACAACCAAAATAATTATTATTTTTTTTTGTGTGTAATTAAAAGAGATTTTTTTATTTTATATAAAATGTAGTCCGTATAATAATATTATTATTAATGATTATTCAGACTGAATTATAGTAAAATTTCTGGCACTTTTTTTTTTTTATATAAAATCTTTCTTTTAGTAAAAAAAAATTAAGTTTCGCGTTCAGTTCGAAATTCGTAAAAATATTCTTCGTCAATTTGTGATTTTGTTTTAAGTTTTGGAATTGGAATATCCTAAAACAAAACAATAAATTATATTTCGATTAGTTTGAATTTAAAAATTTTAAAAGATTCAATTTAATTTTTTAAACTTCCAACTCTCGATTTAAAAAAAAAAAAAACTTTAAACCTTTTGGGTAAAATTATAAATACTCACTTTTATAGAATTTTTAGAAAAACTGTATTTCGAGTTTAAAATAAATGGTACACCTTCTAAACCTAAAAAAAAATTTAAAAAATTTTAAAGATTAATTCAAAATGGAGGGGGAGGGGAGGGGGGGGGGAAATATTTTTTTCAGTTTATTAATTTGACTTACCGTTATATCCAGAAATTGTTGCATACGTTGATGTTGGTGGTTTTGGCGCGGGTCTAAAGGGTAACAGGGGACCAACATTATCGGGATTACTTGAATTTCCATTCGATGGTAAATTATGATTGTTGTGATGAGAATTATTTAGACTAGGATTACCAGGATTAGAAGGCATAAAACTGAAATAAATGTTTTAAAATAAATATTATTAAAAATAATGTAATTTAAAATATGTAAAAATAATTATTAACTTCAATTTATAACTTACGGATACGGTAAATTGGGATAAAAAGAACCAGTTTTTTTATTTTCAATGTTGCCAACTCTAATGCAAAGTGTCATACCATTTATTTCACTGAAACAATTAAAAGTAATTTGATTTTAATCATTTTTTATTTAACAGAAATAATTACAATTATATAAAGAAAAAAACATACTTACCCAGACAGTACAAAACCTTCAGGAGCTTTTTTCATTTTACCTAAAACAATTATATCAGTAATGGCAGTCGAAGAGGTAGAAATTTGAGCAAATTTGTAGCACAACTGTTTTTTTCTCCAGGCTTTTTGCTCTAGACAGAGAGAAATAAGTAAATAAAACTACAAAAAATAAATTTTTTAGGTTATTTTCACTTAACTCACTTGTGTCTGAAGTTTTGGGTATCATTTTAAAATTTTGTGGAGCCATATCTTTTTCATTAATTATGCACAGAGACTGAATTACATAATCTTGAGTACCCACTGTTTTTGATAAACATAAATATCTTGAAAATTTTCTACCGAAAAAACCACTCTCTTTCCATAAATCGGCATCGGAATCTTGGTCGTAGGTTCTAGAAACAACAGTATACCCGCTAGGACACTTGTCCGGATCTTCTACAATGCAGAGTGATGTAATTGGTCTATCATCTGGAAGCGCTTTGTAGACCTGATTCATTTTATTTCCTTTTTGGTTTAGTTCTAATTATGGTGATGTATGATTTTATAACCTAACCAAAAAAAAAAAAAAAACAAAAAATTTAACTTATTTAACATCTAAAGTGAAAATGTATTTAAAATTTTAATGTAAATACTTTTAGTAACAAAAAATTTTTTTGAACTGTTTTAATCACTTTAGTAATTTAGTCAAATATCAAAAATGCATTTTTCTATAATAAAATTTTGTCTTCTTTACTGGATTAAACTTTTTAAACCTTCAAAAATATTGTTACAGTTTTTAAATACTAACATTAACATAATTTAATAGTCATTTCAAAAAACCATGTTTGGAATAGTAGAAATTAATTTTAATAAAGTATTCTTTCACAAAAAATAATTAAACACTAAATTAATTGAATTAATTGATAAATATTTAATTAACAATTACACAATTAAAACAAAACCTGTTATCTGTGGAAACAATATGTAAAAAATATTTTTTTTTTTTTTTACCCAGAATAACTGAATTTATGAGTCACTCATTTACAGCCTAATGGCCACGTAACATTATTTAAAAAAAAAAAAAAAAACAATTTTTAATAAATGGATTTTATTCATTTTAAATATTTAAAAAAAAAATATTTAATATACGATCATATAAAAATAATAATTATTCATTGGTTCCTTTTTTGTTCCCAGCTAATGAACGAAAATTGATAAACAAATAATTTAATAAACTTAAAAAAAAAAAAAAAAATACATTCCATAAATAAAAAGACTTTACCTTAAATATAAAATTAATTAATTTTAATAATTAAATATAAAACATTTCAATTAATAAATGTTAAATTATTAATCAAAAATTAAAAAAAACTATTCCTTTAAAATAGAATGTCAAATAAAACTAAAGAAAATTGGCTACCTTGAAATACGAAAGCAAGGTTGCCAACTAAACCGACTTGTTTATCCCTTCGATGTTTTGACTAAAAACTTTATTAAGAATGTTTTTACCGCCTAAAATGAAAACTTTTAAAAACAAAACAAACAAACAAACAAAAAAAAAACAATCAATTTTTTTTAAACAAATTTTTTTTTAATTCCATTATGCTGTGTTATACCTTTTTTTTTTTTTTTAAATTAGAATATATTGTGAGAAATTAAACTCGTGTTTTATTTTAAATATCACATCATTTTCTAATATATAATTAAGGTTAAGTCAAATAATAATAATAATAATAATGAGGGGTGATGAGATAATAAATAGTCTAAAAAAAAAAAAAAAACAGTAAATAACATTAACGACAAATAAATTTATTAAAAAGAATATCATTAGTTCTTTGTTCTCTATAAATAAATCCCGTTGAGGTTTTCTTTGTTAAAAATACAGTTCATTAGAAAGGATGTAATTAAGTTTAGAAGAAATTACATTTAGTATTTTTAAAACTAAATTTCTTTTTTAAATAATTATTTTGTTATAAATTGTAGTAGTAAAGAAACCTTTTACTATTATGCATTTAGAAAAATAATTTTAGATTTGATAATCCCCTGTTACACCTGAAAAAATTTAATATGATGATATTTATTAAAATTAAAAAAACCTTCAAAATAAATTTTTGTGCTGAAATTTTTTTTTTTTTTTTTTACCAAATGCTAATAATAAAAATTATTTACGAAAACAATAATAATAATAATTTCTATGACATTGACCTAAATTTTACTTTACCGCAATGTTTAATTTAAATAATAAAAAAAAATAAATAAATAAATATATTTATAATTAAAAAAAAATAAATTTAATGACTCAAAAATTTATATATATATATATAATTACACGTAGTATTATTTTACACAGATTTTGACTAAAATAAAAAAAATTCAATTTATATTATTTCATAAATAATTTTTTTTATTATTAATTTCGTAAGTATAAATTAGTTATTAATTAAAAACGTTTTATTAATAAATCATGACTACCAAAACTTTTTCTCATAATTCAAAAAAAAAAAAAAATTTAACTGTAAGAAACAAAAGTACTTAATTATATTACAAATCTATGTAATCTTTCAAAAAATTATAAAAAAAAAATTTCAATTTTCTTATCACTTTTTTAACATCAAATGTTAATTATCTGCATGAAATTTAAATAAATAAAATGAATTTTTAATAAAAAATTTTAACTGGGAATCAAATATGTAAATAAAGTAAAGTAAAAAAAATTTTGAAGATTTAATATTTCTTATTATGATTTTTATTTCGTTAATTGACTATCTTTCGTTTTCGAAAATCTTTTACACTAATAGTAACAATGTCTTCCCTTCATGACTTTTTTTTATTTTCCTGTAATAAATAAATAAAAATAATAATATAATATAAACACACTTTAAATAAACTACTTAATAACAGTAAAAGTATCTCAATCAAATTTCATTTTCGGTTTTTTAATATTTAAATGCATAAAATTTCATTTTTTTCCCTGTTTATCATTATTAATAATATTAATTTTGTGAAGTCACTCACTGTATCGAATTTTATAAATCAGAAAGTCAATAAATTATATAATAATTGTTTAAAAAACTTCAGATAAGCTTACCTAGATTGAATTAAAATAAATTATAATAAGTACTGCTGGAACTTTTAATAAATATAATACTGCTGTTGCGACTAATTGGGGCTGGAAACCGATGGATTTAGAAATCCAGTTGTTTGTACAGATGAATGTGTTACTTGTGTTACTTCTGTTGGTTCAAATTCTAAAATTACACAGTAATACATTTAATTAAAATGCACTACATAAATAAATTTTAAAAAAAATTTTTCAAAATGGTCTTCAATAAAAAAATTTACCCAATTTTGCCGCTTCACAATATGTATTCCTTAAATTAGTCACTGGAGTCCAAATTCTAGAAAATTCATAACCAGAATTTGAAGCAAAACCATAAAATGGTACTGTCTTATTTTCATACTGATGAGTTTGAGCTAATTGTGGATTATGAGATTCATTGGATAAATTAGTAGGTTGCATGGTTTCAACTTTTGCAATGTACTGTTGATGTATTCCATTTTCAAGAACTGGTACTGGTACAGAAGAAATATTTTGTTTAGAAATATTTGTATTTTGTAATTGTGTTAATGTTGTTTGCTGCTGATTTACTGAATTAATAGGTTGTACAATAATATTTTGCTTCTTTTTTCTAGTTCTTTTAACTCCTGATTCGATTTTTTTCTTAACGGGAAAAGCACATTCTCCTTCTAAATTATTAGTCATTGTATTTGAACAACTTTGATCTGATTTAGTTTTTTTCTTTGCTAACTTTTCTTCTTTTTTTTCTTGTTTAACACGAATTTTCGCATCTTTAACTCTTCGCCTAATCGTATGCGCACTTATATTTAACCCCAACATTTTATTAATTTCTTGAACTGATATTGAAGGAGTGACAGCTACGGCTTGAGCAATAGCTACGTCTTCATAGGGAGTAGTTTTCCTGTGAGCACCTGGTTTCGGTATAGACTTTAACCCATTTTCTCCGTTCGCTTCGTACCTTAATATCCATTTTCTAATTGTTTTAGGGTCTATGTTTAATTTCTTAGAAATCATCATTTTTGGTACGCCACCTTCGTACATACCAATTATACGACCTCTGGTAAACATAGAGGTTTCAGCATCTCCCGCTTTACGGGGCATGTTTACCTTTAAAAACTCCTAAATGCAAAAACATTTAAAAAATTTTTTTCTTAAAATTATTTGAGATAATGGATCTTTGTATTTAAACATAATAATTTAACGTATATCCGACGTAGTGACGCCATAACCCCAGTTGCCAAGCTTTATTGTTTTCAAAAATCTTCGCTACAAATTGTTTTAAAATATTAAAAAATTTTTTTTTACTCATAAGAACAAAAGATGAGTGCGTATTATTTATTTAAAAAAAAAATATACTTAATTATTTAATAATTTCATGTAGAAAAATAAATATTCAAATACAAAAATTACGGGAAATAAAATTCTTTTTATTAATTTATCGCGCAGCGAATGTTTCAAAAGGTATTTCGACTACTTTATTTCATTTGTGTGGCGTGGCGTGGTTTTAGAAAAGCAATTTGTTTTTGTTTTTGACAATAAAAATGGTCACCTTTGTAGTCGGTGAATTATTTAGTTCGTTTAATGATCTTTCTCAAAAGTTGTCAGAATATTCTGAACAAAACTTTTGTCATTTTTATATAAAGGACAGTAAAAAATTGTCACCGAATGAGGTGATCAATCCTCAATTGATTTACAGACACATCGTTTACAGTTGTATATACGGTGGTCAGAAACCTCGGTTTCGCGGTAGTGGTTCACGTTCTGTTTCGTAAGTAATATTTATATACTGATTTGTCGGTGATGTATAAAATGATTGATATAAATTAAAGTCAATTTTTAAATTTCAAAATGGCGTAACATTTATATGAAAAATCAATGCTACGCAACTTTTTTAATTCGTTAAAATTTTAAATTTTCACACGATTCAATGCTTCACTTTACCGGTTTTTTTAAAACGAAATGAAACCTTAAATGCTTTTATAATTTAGTTTACTTGCAAAAATCGTTGAAAATATTATTTCTTATTGTTAGACTAACCTTGTGTGCGTCATAAATTTAACTGACAATGCCAATTTTAATCACATGCTAATAATTTTTGAAAGGTTTTTTATTTACATTAATGGTTTCTTATGGTATTTAGATCAATTAGGCATGGTTGTCCAGCCAATGTTTATTTACGCGTTACAAAAGATAGGGAACATTTGCAAGTAAGGAGTTTTGTTGAAACACACAATCATGAAATATCTGAGGTTAGTATGAACAATTTTTTTTTAGAATTAATATCATAAATTAGTTATAAATTTAATTACTTAAAATATTTAAATATTTAAAAAAATAATAGGAATTATATCGAGCTGCTGCACAAGACAAAAAACTACCTGAGGACCTTAAAACAGAAGTAGAGGAACTTTTACTTTTGGGAGCAGATAAAGATAGATTATGTGATTACATTCGTTATGTAACAAAAAAAAATTTAGACAAAAAAAACTTATTTAATATATATGATGCTGCAGTTAAACATCAAAGAGAAATATCTAGAGATAGAGCTTTAATGCTTATTCAAAAAGTTTATGGTAATACATATATATATATAATGTAGTGTAATTCATGTGTAATCTAATGTAAACAAGTATATAAAATTTTTTTAAATAATTTTTTTAGCTGTCGAAACAGAAGAAGAGGCTGAACAAATTTTACAACAATTATTGTTGTCGGACAAACCGACAAGGAGGTCTAGAAAACAAGAACCTGTAGAATATGTGGAAAATATTGAAGTTGCTTTCGTTAATGAAGGGTATTATTTTTAAATAATTATTATTATATAATGAGGGCTCTTTGTTGCAAAATTTATAAGCATACCTGAGTTATAAGATTCATGTTTAGTTTCTATCGAGCTAATCAAGGTGTGTTAACTTTTTCAGCGATTCATCTCAAGAAGAAATTGTCGAAGAAAGGGTAGATGATTTGACGATAGATCAAAGAATAGAAAAATTAATGTCAACAATAACTGGTGAAAATGAAGTAGGTGATCATATAGTTATAGTACAAGATGGTGAACATATACAAGTAATAGATACAGGTGACACAGCAGTAGAAGGTAAGAAAATTTTAAGGAAAAAGGTATTTTAAATTACCACAAATCAATTTGATACATATATATTAACGATTTAAGTGTTTCGTTTAAAGAATACCTAACGGGTGATGCAACGGATAGCGACAAAGTCGTACAACCCGAAGAAGTTATGGTCAAGCAAGAGATCGACGATGAGAAAACGCAAGAAATAAAACAGATAAAAGAAGAAACTCCAAGGTATTTGACGCTAAAAGAATTATCAAAAAGTTTTCAAACGCGTAAAAGAAAAGTAATAAAAACGCCACCGATAAAAAAGAAATTCATTCCGAATAATTACGTTCAAACAAATGCAGAAAATGCTGTTTTATACGTGAGTATAAAAAAGACATTTTTAACCGAATGAGTGAAAAATGGAAAAGATGAAATTAAATTAAATTAAATTCTTTTTTTTTTTTTAAACAGACGGAACCGTTGGGAAAAAATCGAGTCTACACGAGCGGGTACGAAGAAAACGAAGAAGAAATAATGGAAAGGGATGATTACGCGGAATGTAAAAGGGAAAACGCGAGAGCGGAATTAGAAAAATTAATAACGGAAACGGAAATGTTAAAGCTCAAAAGGAATAAAATAGTTAAGGATATATCAAAGTTAGAAGTTGAAAAAAATAAATTGTGTTTGGAAATGGAAGTAATAAAGGAGAAGAAAAAATCAGTGAGCATGAAAATAATGTGCCTTGAAACGGAGTTTCAAACTCGAGAATTACAAAATGAAAAACTAAGACTTGAAATAGCAAAATTAAAATTTGAATTAAACGAAAATTAAATTATCGGTGTCATCATATTAATTCAAATGTATAAAAAAAAAGTAACAAACAAACAAACACTTAAAAATATTTTTTTCTAGTGACACAAAGTGAATTTGTTATTTTATATATATATATATATATATATATATATATATATATATATATATATAAATATGAAAAGTTAGCCTGCTCATCACGAAATCTCATAACAATCACGTAAATACTTCAGATGTACATAAAAATTGTTTTTGTTTGTTTGCCTCCCACGTTTGTATACAAAAAAGAAAAAAAATGAAAAACTCACAGCTCACAAATGGTTGGACACTAAAAAGGAAAAAAAAAAAACAAAAATAATCCTCGCGATATGACGTCATTCGTTTTTCATTTAAATAAGTTAAATAGAGATTACCAAATAAAAAAAATGGGGGAGAAGAGGGGGGAGGAGGAGGGGGGGGAATATGGAAAAAGAGTTTTTTAAATGCGACACTTGTGTGGAAAATGACTGGTTGTTTCAAAAAAACCTTAAAATAATAATAATAATAATAATAATTTCCCAAATTCAGTTGTTGCAGTATTTCAAAAAAAAAAAAAAACCCAAATGTTAATAATAATAATAATAATAATAATGAAAAAGGAACGTTTTTTTTTTTTTAAATAAGAAATTATGCACTGTTAAATATAAATCAATGAATGAATGAATTAAGTAAAAAGTGACTGAAAGTTTTTTTTTTTTTTTTATAAATAGCAAAAGTAAATAAAATATTAATAATAATAATAATAATGATAATAAATAATAATAATAATAATTTAACTAGAAGTGTCTTTTTTTCTTTGTTTTGTAAGTAATAATATCCGAGTCTTTAAGAGAGAAAAAAAAAATAATTAAGTTACCAATTTATTATTATTATTATTATTATTATTTTTTTTTATTAAATTCACGTTGTAAATATTTTATTTAAAATAAAAAATAATAAATAAATAAAAATAAAATCACCATTCGTACCCGTGCAGTAAAAAAAAAAAATATTAATTATTAAATTCCATTGAATTCCACAATCGTTAGTAGAATCGTACAAAATTTTATTTTAATAAATTATGTATTATTATTATTATTATTATTTTTCCTATTTTATCCGAGTCGATAAGCAGATAAGAAAAAAATTATTTATTTATTTATTATTATTATTAATAAAAATGTTAATAAGCACTTAATATTAATAAATATATAAATAAATAAATGGTGATTTTATAAAAAATTACTAAAAAAAACTTTTTTTTAATTAATTAATAATGTCGATAAAGTACAATTTATTATTATTAATATTATTATTATTAATAAATTATTTCTGTGTGTTAAATAAAATATAAAAAAAAAAAAAATGTCAACAAATTCCTGTAAAAAATTACAAAAATTAAATTTTTTTTTTATTAAATTAAATTTTATTTTTTAATGTATTAATAATAATAATAATTATTATTATTAAAAAAATTAATAAATTGCCATATTTATTTAATTAATTATTTCGATGCGTATTGTAAAAAAAAACTTAATAATAATAATAATAATAATAATGATAATGATAGTGAAAAGTGACACGCTCGACGTTAATTCAATATGACGTAATTAATTATAACATAAATTATCATCAATATTATTTATTATCATTATTATCATTATTATTATTAAAAAGTCGGGCAATTATTATTTTATTGATAAAAAAAATAAATAAATAATTTATTATTATTATTATGATATTGTTTAAAAATTTAAATTGTACCGTCGGATCGTGCCAAAAAAATTTTTAAATAATTAAATTATAAATTTTACAAAAAAATAAAAAATAATAATAATAATAATTGAGAGAGAGAGAGAGAGGGGGGGGTGGAGAAATGAAATAAAATATTTATTTGAGAAAGTTTTGTCTCAACTTTTTCAAAATAATTAAAAAAATGTACAAAACGTAAAACAATAAAATTTGTTTGAATTATTTTTATTTATTTATTTATTTATTTATATTACACGCGTACCTCATTTCCTCATCATTTTAGTTAATTATACAATTTATTTATAATTAATTAATTAATAATTAACAATAATTAGCAAAAAGCTTAAATAATAATAATAATAATAAGGCTTTATTTATAATTAAAAAAACAAAAAAGTATTAAACAAACCGAATTATAATAATAATAATAATAATAATAAAATTTTAGCCGCTAAATATTATACTAAAAAATTTACAAATAATTTTGAATTTTAAAAAAAATTAAAAGTAAAAGTTAATTGTAACGAAATAAAATAAATAAAAAGATAGTAAATTAAAAGCACGCATGCGCAAATGCAAAAAAAAATTTATTATTATTATTTTAAATGGAAGTATTTTATAACGTTTTTTCTGTTTATAATAATAATAATATAATGTACATAATTATTATATAGCACCACCTTTCGTTCGCACAAACAAACATTTGTCGTCTGCTCTCAAGTTAAAACTTTTAAATAAATCGATCGAACAACAATCGATATATCGATTAATCGAACGTAAGTAAATAATAGAGAAATAAATAAAGGAAAATAAATAACGGGCTTTTTTTTGCAAACGTTATAATTATAAATCAAAAAAATTTTATATCCGGAGAGAGAGAGAGAGAGAGAGAGAGAGAGAGAGAGAGAAATAAAAACCGACACCAAATTAAATACCCGCCACCGCCATTTTTGAAATTATTAAAAAACCGTTAAAATAAAAATTGTTATAATAATAATAATAATAATAATAATAACCGTCACCGTGTGTGTTTTTTTTTATCCCCCATAAGTGTCAAAGAGAATCAATCACAGTTTAATGATTTTATTATTTATTGTAACGTATTTTTATTTATTGATAAAAAAAAAATAATAATAATAATAATAATAGTAATAATAAAACAAATCGCGTTAAAAAATTATATTAAAATAAATTCTTTCCTTATAATATCGGCCATATTGAATATAATAACCGTTTATTTCATAATTTTTTATTAAAAATTTATTTTAATAAAATTTTTTTACATCATGTCTTTAATTAATAGAATGTTTTGTTTAAATTAATAATAATAATAATAATAAGTCGTAACTAAGGAACGCTGATAGTGTGATGTTTTTTTTTTAAACATAAAAAATTATTTTACATAACTAATTATTATAATAAAATAATAATAATAATAATAAAAAGACTAAAGTTTACCATATCCTACCATTTTTTTTCCATATTATTATTATAAATAACAAGTAAAATCGGTAAAAGTCAGTCTTTTTTTTTTATTTATTTAAATAATTAAAATCGATAAATAAATAAAATAACTAATTAATAATAATAATAATAATAATAATGATGATTAGAATTCGTGAGAATGATGATGATGAGAATGAGAGAAATAATAATAATTTTTTTAAATACTAAAATTTTTTTTCGGGGCTAAAAAACTAAAATTTTTATATTGTTCACTTTCGTAAACGAATCATATCATCATCATC